GTCCTGTATAAACAAAATGATAAAATTAAATTTAAAAAGGTCGAATACTGATTATATATTCACTAGTTAAGAACCCGTACGCCAGATGCCACCTTCTCGGGTTATAAGTTTCTCCAGTACTTCTATTAATAATCTTCATATATTAGGAACATAAAACCCGTTAAATAACAAAATCACATGACTTTTTGTTCTTATAAGTTACCTTATTAGCAGAAAGAAACTGGCTTACAAATTAGACTGTTTTTTAAGTTACCAAATGATATGTTTTATCACTCAAAGAAATTTTGGTTAGATATAAACACAGAACGGTAAACAGTGAAAAACCCGGAAAGTCACGTTTTGTAACATATTTTCACCACGTTGCAGTGTCAACCAATCAGTTACAATTGATTGAAACTTAGGAAGGCTATGTCTCAAACGTTACCATAATAAAAGAATTCTACTGATAAGCAGTGCTGTGCATGCTATCATACTAATACGATTTTCGTAAGGTTGTATAAATGTAATGAATTAATCATACTTTTATCTGAACTCTATGAAAATTGTCAGCAATTTTATGCCCCCCCCCAAAAAAAAATCCAGCCCTTTTTAATTATGAATTGCAGGGGCACTAAAGGCTCTATGGGAGAGAATTCTACAATCAAGACACACAGTAGTGTGTCGTGCGACCAGAACAACCCTTACGACAAATTGTGTGTTATTAACAGGAGTGATAGTTTAGCAATTTTCCATTTTCTATATCTCAGACTGTGGTAATCCAAACTATCCTGTATTTCGGTGGCTATGCTCTACTAGACCCTTACTTCACATACCAAATTTCAAGACAATCCATTAAGAACCGCACGAGATATAAAATCTCCAATTTTGATTGAATATATTCCTATTCTTTTTTCTTTCGCACCGACAATTTATTTGATAAAAAACATACATAACTTTGATGGATTTGCTTCAAATTTGGTACACTGATAGATATTTATACGTACAATGAGATGTCAAATTTGGTCTCAATATAAGCCACATTTCGAAAGTTATTCAACAAAAATAGCTCGTGTGAACTATCGGCCTGCATTTTTTACCACAGTTTCATCTGAAACTGAAAGTGGACTGTTTTAAATTTCTTGTCATTTAGAGAGGAAAAACTACCAAAATATATTTTAGAGACTCTGGTTGGTTCTGTAAAGTATATGTCTGTTCCGAATAATAGTGTTGCGAGCCTAAAGTTAATGTTGGTTACTACTGACTGTCACTTTCTTACTTGCTATGGTTTGTTGGTGTGTATTGACAAAAAGTCACAACAGCTAATCAAAACCGCCTTAGGTATGAAAAAAAAAGGTGACGGCGAAAAATAGATTGAGTGAGCGACTTAAACGAATGAAATCAAAATCGGCGGCCAAACTGGTAGCTACACTCATAGCATTGATAATAATTTTGCAGCCAGTATTCATTCATTAGTTAGTTAGGCCACGTATTTTATTTTACCCACCATCATGCCCCAAGTTGAAGTTTACAGGAGTCTGGTATAATTTCCTTACACGTTTCGTGGATATGGCTAAACGATTTTTCTTTCTTGTCTACCAAGGGATGACTTCCCCGAAAGGAGGCCGAAAACTGTCTGGATGGGTCACCGGTTTTAACCACTCGCACCACTATGCTGTCTGTCAGTCAGTCAATAGATACTAAAATGACATCACATAAAGGACGCTTGGCATTGCAATTTGTACTGTTATGACATCAGTAAAACGTGCGCATGCCAAGAATCATGAGAATAATTATGCACTCTGTAGTCTACAACACAACATGACATATGAACTTCAAAAGCAAGTAATGAAAATATTCTTAATTTTGATTTTTTTACTTTTGAAACAGAACACTTTCGGGGACCGACGGAATACATCTAGTTCTTACTATATATGAATGTGATATAATTTTCCAAAGCTCAACACAAAAAATTTAGTGAATTTTCAAAAAACGTGAGTTTGCATAGTAACCAAAGATACGATTATTTTTTAATTAAAGTGGAGCTACTAAGGGCTTTCTTATGGTTAAGGATGTCGGAGTAAATGCTTTAAAGAATTATGTAGAAACAAGAGTCAACGTAATAGATGTCTCCGAGAGACAAAATCAGCCAAGAGACTAAAATTGCAGACATTTGCTACCATGGTACCTCGAGCTGTGAAAGGAAAAAAGAGGGTTACAACATCAATCTCAAATCTAGAACTATAAGCTAGGTTGGTAGCCATTTCAAATGACAGAAACGTTGATCGTAAGGAGTTATTCACTTATGAACTGACAAAAATTTCGTTGGCAGTCGCTAATGATGAGGATTCCGAGCTAAAACAAAGCTCAAACTCTTAATAATCTTGAAGCTGATACTTGTTAAAACTGCCTTCAAGGATATGATATAGAACATATCATATCAGACAGTAAGAACTTTATAGACTCAAAAGAGAAAACGGCGAGGAAATATCTCTGGGTCTCTATACGTCCTGATACATTCCAAAGAATATGTGACAATATCATATACGAGATGGATACGACAGTGAGAACTATGAGGTATCGAAAGAGAAAACATCCATCCCAATACATTCAAAAGAACAAGTATTAGTATACCACAAGAGCAAAGAAAGTTTACACTATTTTTTGTTCACTTGGTGAGAAATTTCAATG